AACACCGAAACCCTGAACCCCTAAACCCTATAGCAAGGAAGACGGGGAGTGGAAGTTGAACGCCAACCTGACTGCCCTGGCATCATGGAACAGTACAGACTTATTTTGGGCAGTGGCTGATCTGAGTGCGGAGAACATTGCGATTGCCTACGGTGTAAATGACCCGTTTAAATTGCCAGTCTACAGCTTTGTCTACACAGGGACGGCATGGACTTTGGTGAATGTGCAGGAGCTTCCTGCAGGCGTAGAATGCCAGTTCGCGGGTACCAATGATGATTGCTTAAAGCTGGGCGGGGATCTGATGGTGTTTCGATCAGCTTCTACCACCATGGGTGGTTTTGAAACTTTCCAGTGGCAAGGGACGAGTTGGTCCCTAGTACCGACCGCCAACTTCACGAACCCACCAGGAATTTCGGCGTTCAGCTGCTAGACGGCAGCATCAGCAAGGTGCATTTGTCAATTGTTGGTAGCGGTGACTTGTGTTGCCGAACCCTGTCTTTAACCCTGATGCGCTTCGATCCTCTGGCCCGACCACGGGATCGACTAACTTCCGTAGGTTAGATCTTACTTAGGATTTGCAGTCGATGGGCAACGCCTCGTCTTGACCACCGTGACTATCAACGCCGGGGTAGTCCCCGTTGTTTACGTGCATCTCGGTTGACCCGCTCTTACACATTTGTTTTGGAATTTGTTGGAGGGATGTGGAGTCTAGGTCGAACGTTCGGGGCTCAAGGTCCTGTTTTCAACTAAGTTGCATGTGCATGTGTGTATATATATATATATATATTTGTACATAATCTGTAAAAGGATATGAAATTCATATCGTAGTATATATAAGCCATACAGAATATAGATATGTGTATCTACATATACAGTGACCTTGAATACATTACTCAGGAATCGAAGTGAACGGTACTTTGTGGCGTATTGCTGCATTTACCGTAGAAGTGTTTGAGGTTGTTAGAATGTAAATATGATACAAAATATGCGTCTGCAAAACCCCAAACCCCAGAGCAACCTGCGCTCTCTCTCTGTCTCTCTCTCTCTCTCTCTATATATATATATACATATATATATATGTATTTATATATGTACATTGTAACATTTACTATAACCATGCAAAAGGCCGTATACCATACACCACATATATTAAATAAAATATGTGTATGGTAAACTTACTGGCTCAAAACATAATACACATAACATGTGTATATGTCCCTGTTAGATAGACGACATGCAATGTACAACATATACTATATAGTGAGATGTGATATGAAATAGGCGTTAACATTCAGCATATGAAGTTAACATAATAATGTATAACCTTTAACATCGAGCATACAACATAACACTATACGAGATAGTAATAGTGTATGATAGGACACGATAAGATACGACGAAGCATGATATAATGTTATGCGGTGAAATGTAACAAGACAAATGTAACAAGACGCAGAACCATATTTCACCTGCTATCACACGACGTAGTAGTGCAATATAAAAGATATCATGCGAGATAAACAACACATGCTAGCATAGCATGATATAACATAGCTGTCTAACATAACACAGCATTAACATGATACAACTTGACAAAAGATAGCATAGTCCAATACGGTAGAACATAAAGTAATGTAATGTAGTAGAACGGAGTATAGTACATTGCGCAAATTAACATAGCATGATAAGATATAAAGTTAAATGCTTTGATATAATGTAGTGTAACATATCGTAACCCGCGAAAGTACATTATGATATCATACTACACAATTAAATACACTTTCCAAGCCGAGACCCCGCCCGACAGAGCAATACAATGTTGTATTGCGCTCTCCGCTATTTACTAATTCGGATGACCCACTAATTAGAGAACCACGAACTTGCCATGAACAAGGTCTAGTCAGTGTTGCTGCTGCCGGCTTGTCCGTTCTTATCAAAACATTTGCTTCCGCGTGAAAGACCAAACTAGAATAGCCCTGCTACGCGAGCATACTACCGCAAGTAAGTATTACCTACATCCTTCTTGAAGTATGTATATGTGAAGTCCCTTTGTGCCCGGAAACGATTCACCAAGTCACCCACCAAGTCCATACACACTGCTTGTCGCGCCTCACGCAAGTTATTGTAGTCTAGGCCGTCTTTTGGTCTGATTCCATGTGAGCAAGCCTCACCATAAACAGTCACACTCCGTTACGGTTCTTTTGAGCAACAACGGGAGTCTCCAGTTCAATGTTGTCATCCTGGCAACACATGTCAAGTTTCCAAACAGGCCCAGACTCTTGTGACCTTGGCCCCTGCATTTGCGTATGTGGCACCTATCGGTGTCCCAGCATGAACACATATGGATGCTATGCCCAGTGGTTTCGTGAAACTACTACTACTACTACTACGACGACGACGACGACGCCGACGACGGCTACTACCGCAAATGCAACCATTTTGGCCGTGCGAAAGTCCCGCGAAACGAAAACACAAATCCGCGAGGAAATCCATTTCTAGAAGCAAGAATATTGATCAACTCTCATGTATGCATGTGTATATATATGGTCAGGCGTCTGGCGTCCCCCCCCCCCCCCCCCCCCCATGGTAGCTATGGTATGGTCTGGTAGGGGGGGGGGGGCTGGTGTGTGCGGAGTGTGGTCTGGCCGGTTGGGTGGGGTGCTGCTGTAGGCGGCCATGGGTCACAGAGAGGGCCGGGATCTTACGCAAACCCTACGCAAGCCATAAACCCTATAACGTGGGGCGTGTTCCTGTTCTTACTGAC